AAGCTTTGCTAGCCTCAGAAATACATATTGCCATTCTATCTACGGGGGGGGGGGGGGGGGCAACATACCAAATCAGCTTGATAGTATTTTTTATTTTAAAAAGTCTTGGAATCTTTTTAACAGTAAAATGGGCAGAGTAGAATGATGAACAAGATGCTGGGAAATCATTCCGGCAATCAGGTGTAGTTATTAAACCCAAACTTCAGAATAAATGTTTAAAATGGAAATATGTGTAGAACAGAATGTTCAACTCTTAAGATCTGGGGATGAGACAATGAAGGAGCCCTTGACTAGTATACATGACCATACGTCCCGGTTAGGTCCCTAGCACTGCAAAACAAACACAAGCATTTTCTGTGTTCACATAGATGTATGACAATTTAAAAGAGAGAGTATGTAAAGGAATACTTAGGAGAAATGGTCACTTTGTTGTACTTTCATACAACATATTTAATTTGTTTTATAACATTGTTAAAGAGAAGGTAACATATTCTTAGAGTAGAAGGAAGACATGTTTTAAGATTCTACAGGGATCTAGGAGATGAGCTAGAGAAATAGTTCATACAGTGCTCTCTGCACAAGAATGAACATCCAAATTCAGTCCCCAAATACCGTATAAAAAGGCAAGTTTGGGCTACGCATGCTTGTAACCTCAGCACAAGGGAGGCAGATCTAGGCGGGTTCTTCTGGCTTACTGGCCAGACAGTCTAACTCAATTAGTGAGCCCCAGGTCAATGAGGATTTAGAGGGGGGGAAAACAAGGGGAAATATTGTGCTTGATCATGTTATAATCTTAAAAATTAAAATAATTAACAATATAAAACGAGATTCTAAAAGAGCATTTGCTCTTGTAGATTTCATGTATCGATATTTACCAATTAATAAATGAAAGCAGAGACATTTAAAATTTATTTGCTTGTTGCTAATTAAAACTGCATCTCTAATGTAAGCATAAGTACACATCTTTAGTAAAAGATAACTATTTTCCAAAATTAAAAAACAAAGCGGTAAAGAGAGAGAGACCCCCAAGGAACAGTAACTAAGAGCGACCGCTTGTAGGGATGCATGTGGCCTCCTCTGCGCGCCCTCACACATGTGTGCAACGCTCCCATCACACAGCAGATAATCAAGGGCCGATAGAAGAACTTTGATACTTACAAATAAAATTTTGTGACAAAAGTCTCTCCAAAAGAGAGACGTAAGCTCAGAGGAAGGTACAATTTCTGCCACTTACCCACACTAGCATTACCTCTTCTCGTTACAAGGAAAAACCTGGGTATTTTCACTGGAAAGTCAACAGAAGAACCTGGCTGTGAATTCAGCTGACCAAAATGCCATCTACTTTGCTTTAAGAGCTAAGGAGCTGCTCTGTTGCCATAGAAATAGAGTCCTGAAATGAGACCTTTCTGTCTCCTACACCATAGCTGACACTTGGCTTACAATATGTTCCTTCTTTATCAAATCCTTTGAAACTCAAATCTTTGAAAGTAATGTAAAGATAAGGAAGTCTCAATGACTTCCCCCCTCACAAGGTTTTCTGGAATAGTGTGCATATAAAATTGTAGACATTTCAGTATGTTTCATAAGAGTCAAAAAGGAAATCAGTAACTGATTTCTGATTTGCTACAAAGTTATTTGATTTCACTAAATTTGAAAAAAAAAAAAACCACAAGGTTTTCCATAAACTTATAAATTAACACATGGCCAGTATTATCAGGCACAATTGCCTAAAAACAAAACAAAACAAAAACCTTTCTTGTTTTCTGTATTAGGACTTTGTGATAATTTTTCTTTGAAACATTGGAGCTAACTCTACACCAAAGAACCCAAACTATGTTACCAAAGCATTTACAAATTACTTGTGAAATAGATTTCACAACTGCAATGTCAAACCTGAATCTCCTTAGCTGCAAAGAAAAGCATGTCTTGAAGAGGTACCGAGTGTCTTCGTAAGGCGTGTCCCACGTGCTTGAGTCTCCTGCAAGGGCCAACAGCTCAAAGCTGTGCTCAGCAGCAACAGCTAGCTTGCTTTAAGGTCCCTCATAGGAAGGAAGAGTTTGGCAGGCCTAGTAAGAGCCAGTAGGAAACTTTCCACGGTTCTAAGCCTTTTATGATCCTACATTTATTCCACATTTATTTCAAGTCTATTCATTAATAATTCTCCTTTTCATAAATTTACTTTAAGTTTCATGTAGAAAAATGGATAAAAGGAGTATGAGGTGTCTAATCAATTGAGCACTCAGTATATGCGATAAGTTTAAATAAACGTATGTATCCTCAAAATACACTGAAGGGAGGAACTCACTAACTCCCTGCAAAGTGCAAATTAGAGCTACTTTGAAATTTCATTTTACCTCAATCAGAATGGCTAAGATTAAGAAAACTCCTCCATGGGCTTCTGCCTCAGTTCCTGCCTCGAGGTTTCTGTCTTGAGCTCTTGCCCTGGCTTCCCTTGATAGTGGGCTGTAACCTGTAAGCTGAAATAAACACCCTCCCAGCAAGTTGCTTTTGGTTAGGGTGCTTATCACAGCAACCCAAGCCCAATCTACAACAGCTGGGAACGGAAGAAAGGGCTGAATTTTAAGGACAGCTTTGAGGCTTCACAAGTGGGATAGCCTCCTAAACTAATGTGTGCTCCTGAAGGGTACTCGGGTTTTCACATCTCCTTCTCTTCCATTCTTTTCTCCAAGATGACAGCTGAGCGAACACAGATTTACATGACCTGTAATTCTTGAATGCAGTGACTAAACAGGGTTTCGGTACAGGCTGGCTGGAGTCTCAGGCAAGTTGTTCCTTGTGGAAGCTGTGGCCATTTCACTTTTTGTTGTCTCTTGGCTTGGTAAGGCCTTGGGGGAATCCTTCATGACTAAGCCCATCTCAGCCCTCATTGGTCCTACCAGTTTCCTAAAGAAGCCTGGCATCACCTGCTGGACCCCAGATTCCCGTCCTTAGGTTCATTGTGCCTTTGTTGCCATGGAAACACCTCTGTCCAGTTTAGCCATTAAAGTTTCAGAAATCTTGGAGTCTTTTCTTGGAGACTAGATAACGGAGTGGCAAAGGGAGCCTTAATCATGGCCTTCCATCCGCGCTCACTCCTCCTTCCTGCAGGTGCACTGCCTAAGAGTCTCCTTTCACAGTGCCGCAGAGAAGGGTAAATGCATTCGAGGGCCTGCCCCTTCCCTCTCCTTGTTCATGTTCTTATTCTCCACACCCACTTAAATGAAGGACTGATTATTTTCTTCTTTCTCCCTTTTCTTTTAATATTCTCCTGGATCCTACTCCAAATCTTGTGAGTGGTATTTCACTGTTACCCAATTTTTATTGGTAAAATATTGGAAGGGAAAGGAAATGGTAGCCATAATTTAGGATATATTTCTCAGTGGCCATCTACTTAATCATTCTTTATGACTCTCAGACTTAACTTTAAAATCCTGATGGTTTATTTATCCTCTTATAGTGGCTGATTTGCTGTGGCTGAGTATTTTCTTTAGGAATATTAATTCAGATTTCACGAGAATAGTGGAAACACCTTGCTATGCAGAGTGTGGTCCATGGACCAAAAGCATTGACCCTTGTTAGAAATGCAGAATTGCATCCTCCTCTACAAGTATGAGTTAGTACCTTCATTGTTCCAGACTCTCCAGCTGTGCCCATATCGTCATTGAGCTTGGAAAGCGCTGTCCTTGGCCACCATACACCTGCTGACATCTGGGTGTGCATCCGCCCAGCACACCGCTGGCACCTAGTTAACACTAACTTGTCAGTTCCTCGGTCCAGGAGCTTTGTAATTGTGCTAAAACAATTAAAGCAAAATAGACAGCTCCAGATCTAGTTTTCCCACTCCCAGGTCCCAGATTCACCTTAAATTTGTTTGACATATTTATTAAGATTCAGTATATAGTATACATTTTCTGAGAACAGCGGAGTAACAAACTGCCCCCGCTACTCCACATCCACAGCTGAGGTCGCTACTTGCTGAGCACTCAGGGGGAGTTTGCCTTTCCTGAGTGTGACAAAACTGTAGTATTTCTCTTCGGGGTGGTTTGGAGGTGGGAGCACAAAGTCCTAGTTTCCATCCTGCACTTTCATTTTCTGATCACAGTGTTTTAGAAGAATCTAGGCTTTACTTATTCACCAGGCTTTCAATAAAGAATCACATTAATCCTTTTAAGCTCCTTATTCTAATGATTTATTTTGTTGAAAACCATAGTGATCCTCCTTTGAATTTTAATGATTGCTGGCTACTCAAAGATTCATTGTTTTGACTTCCTGTCCTTACCTTTGTTTCCTGCATGTCTGTGGGGAACACCTGTCTAATACTGGACCTGCCACTGGTTCTCACTGGCTTACCAGAGTCACTCAAGCCTATCTCTGCGTGTTAAGATGAAATGCTAGCTGCTCATCCATGACAATAAATGTAGGATATATGTTTGCAGAGATAGGCAGGTAGACAGCAGAGAGACAGATGAATGATTGAGTCATTTTCTGGTGAAAATAATGTTTTGGACTTGTTAGCATATGTTATCACTGTTGAAAAACTAGATAATAATTTAATAATAAACCCTGAGGTGCAACATCTAGGAAATTTAAATGAAAAAGCAATTCCTTTAAATGCTGTGTTTACCCCAATTCTGGGACTATGAAAACTTTAGCATATCACTGGACCTCTGTTTCTCAGTCATGAAGGGTGGAATGCTTGTTTTCAAGGACATAGCCATGGTCTCTTTGTTAAGAAAGGGTTAGTAAATGGTAATCACCATGATGTGGCTCAGGAATAGTGCAGGAATTACATGTGTGTTTTCAAAATCTAGGAGGTGGCTGTGTCACAGCCTCCAGTTCCCACTTTGCCCTCTGTGTAACCACATGGAAGGTTTTTCCTTCTCTTTTTACAGGTACTCACCCAGGAGCATCATGGGTTTCAAGAATATATTATTCTAATATGAGATTTTTAACAACTGCAGTGTATTTATGCATAATACATTTTTGTGCCTTATCTTCAGGCTTCTGGACTTTGATTCAGAATATCAGGAGCTCTGGGATTGGCTGATTGACATGGAGTCCCTTGTGATGGACAGCCACGACCTGATGATGTCAGAGGAGCAGCAGCAGCATCTTTACAAGGTTAGAGCTACCCTTTCTGCTTTTACTTTGCTATGGAAGATCTGATTAGCCTGACAAGCCTCTCTCTCAGGATATCTTTGTGTTCATTGTATGTATCATGGTGTCTATTAGAATTCCCTCCTCTGTCCCAAACTCATTTCCATCCCTAGCGTGCTGACAGGCTGCACCGACATCATAATTGCAAGAAAGTTCCCTTTATCACATTCTGTTTGGTGTAATTCTAAAGAAGGAAAAGCTTTCTCTTCAAGATGAATAGCAATAAATGAAACTGCATTAATAAAAAGACTGAAACAAAACGGAGGCTAGATGGGCAGATAACATTTAACAGTATGTGTTTTGATCGGAGCACTCAGGTGGATTTGGTCCACCCCTCAGCTCATCTCAGAGAAGAAAGAAATTTGCCTTCATTTTGACTTGTTGTTACCAAAGTGCAAGAATTTAAGGTATGTTTGTTACACCGGCAGCAGACTCTATCATTAAGTGTGTGCATTTTCAGGTGGTTTAAGAACTCATATTGATTTCAGGCACTCCATCTGATACCTGTCTGTATTACTTCCATGTCTGCTAGATCCCTTTAACCTAGAGTGTTTTAGCAATCCTACTTATGTAGTCTTAGAAGGCTGTACAATACAATCAGGTGATTTCTTTTCTTAAACTGTGTGTGTGTGTGGGGGGGGTATGGCTGTTATCTTCAAAGTCCCTGAAAAAGCTGTAGGGGGAAGGAAGAGGGACGTTCTACTGAAATACCAGGCTGCAGTAAATCTTCCTCATTTAAGCAATTTTTATTGGAGTAATTCTGACAGTTGTCATCCTTGAATTGCTTTGAGCATATGGCATATTTCAAAGAGCAGATTGTGAATCATAAAAAATAAAATTAATAACTAACCACAGAATTGGCAACAGTATAATGACAAGAAACAACTACCCTCTAGCTTTTTAAAAATTCTTATAGAATAAGAAGTACATTCAAGGTCAAATAAAAGTTATCTCCTTCAATGTTACCATTTTAGGTAACCTTTGTTTAATAAAGTATGTTAACTTTTGCCTTCTTTATGAAGAGAGACATATACTTTAATAGGGTCTGGTAGACATAAATTATTGTCCGTTGGGAATCATCTTAGTTAAGAAATGATATAGGCTCCCTATGGACTCAGCAAATGGGGACATTTCACTCTCTGAAGAGTTCTGTACAGTCTTGATGTCATTCAGTGACTTCTCTGTTTCCTGTATGGATAGTTGTCCACACTACCCCAAAATATTTTCTGACCTAACCTGTGTAAGTAAGAACTTCCAACTCATGTAACTAAACTAGGCTATTTCACATCTCATGTCAAGAGCAGCAATTACATATGAAAATGATTATAAATCTATATTAATTTAGTGCTAGGAAAATATTCTATTTCTAAACCATTATCTCAGAACTTATTGCCGTCGCGTTGCCAAATAACATTTCTTTTCTTCTTGATGCATTTTGTATTTCGCAGATAAGCCACTATTTTTCTGAAACAGTGCTGTTCTTTGTCAAAATCACAGCCGCATAATTTACATCACAATTAATAGGAAATCACTGGATGAAAAAAGCGGTTGTCTTTTTCTTGTGGTTTTCTTGTAAGCACTTTGCCTGAGAATTCCATTCTGGCACACGGAGGGTGATTATTCCACCCACTCAGGACGTCTGGGTTGGAGTATTTTTCCAAACATTTTCCATACAGTGTTGTTTTCATCTGTGACTCATCCTGTCACTGTGCTTCTGCTTTTAGGTGTTCAACATAGACAAATATTCTCCCTGCATTTGGTTTGTAAAGAAAATATAACCAAGAAACCAAGAGAAAATTCTAAAGGTCTGCGAGGGTTTTGATGTGAGCCCCACATAGTTATAAAGGTCTGAAAACTTCCAAAGTGACCCTGAGGGTATGGATCTAGGAACCCTGTAGAAGTGTGGGCTTTAGCGTAGAAAAACGGACTGAGGAGAATTAGTTTGAAGTCTTACCGAAGACTCCCTAGGGCTTCCCGGGTCAGGTCAGCATTTTCTGTCCTCCATCCCTCTGTTCTAACTTGCTTTCACGGGGACCCATTATACTGATGACTTTCCAGAGGGGAACTTGTCACTATTGATCAAAGAGGCTCCTGAAGGATTGGGGCTCTTCAATTGCTCCCCAGGTCTTGTTGGTTTTTAAAATACCATGAGATCACCTTGATCATCTTTATCTTTATATTGGCTTCCACCGTCCCTGCCTACCAACGCTTTATCAAATTTCTTATTAAAAGCACCATTGATGATTGGTGGAGTCTGTGGGATCTTGCCTCCCAGCAGAGAGTGTTTATTGTTCTTACTCTTGAGCCACTGTGACGATGTAAGATGATCTGAACCCGCTTCAGAGAATTTCTAACCTACTGTACTTATCTTCATTTCTTTTTATATTTTTTTTTTTACATTGTGTGTGTGTATGTGTGTGTGTGGACATGTACCTCTTTGCACACGTAAAAGTCAGAGAACCATTTATGGGAGTTAGTTCTTATCTTCTACCATGTAGGAACCATGAATCTAACTCAGGTTTGGCACCAAGTAAATCTACCTGCCAAGCTATCTTGCCTGCCCTTTTCATTTATTGAAAGCATTAATATATAGCCAGGGACTGGTGGCACATACCTTTAATCCCAGAACTTGGGAGGAAGAGGCAGGTGGATCTCTGTGAGTTCAAGGCCAGCCTGGCCTACAGATCAAGTTCCAGGCTAGCTAATGTTGTACAAAGAAACCCTGTCTCCAAAAAAAAGTATTACCATCAAGAGAGATGCTACACACTAGTGCTATACACACACACACACACACACACACACACACACACACACACCAAGCATAATAATGTATGCCTATATTGCAGCTAGGAGAATAACTTAATTGGAGAGTGCTTGATGGCATGTGTTAGGCCCTAGGTTCAATCCCCAAACAAAAATGAAAAATGGAAATGAATGACTATGTGACATAATTGAAAGTGGTAACTGTGAAATCTCTAAAGTAAGTCTTGAGTAAAGGTAACAGTGAAAGCAAGCATGGGCAAGGGCAGCCATTGTTGCTGCTCCCATTGCATCCGGAGCCTTTGTTCTTCTGTCCCTGGACAGTGCTGTATTCCATCACCCAGATCCTTCCCTGGCAGATGGCTGTGTCCAGATTTATGCATTGTCCCAGGTGAGCCCCAGAGTCCGGAAATGTCAGGTTGGGGAAACCCATGCTTTGTAGCACTCACAAAGTGAAGTTAACTTAGCACTTTCCATGCTAGCTTTGCTTCCTCTTCTCCTTTTATGCTTTGGTCTCTGAAAAGCATTTACCCTTAACTCCCAAGTGTGGAAGCCCTCATTTGGCACACCTCCTGAGTGGGACACTTCTTGTTATATGCTGTTTATACAAGGCCAGTCACAGGCAAAGGAACATATACAGAGAAAGAACGGGATTGGATGGTCAAAGATACCAGATGATACAATTTGATACAAGACGACATAGAAGCCTCAATACAGCCATAAAGTAGAAAGCACGCCTACTGTTCAAGATACTTGCTGTTATCAGAGTTAGACGCTTAAGATTCTTTCTAATTAATTTTAAACTGCACTGTCGTGAGAACAACTCAATTCTTATTAAAAGTTAACTCTCTACTCAATTATATTTTTCCCAGTTTTGAGATAACAAGATGTACTGCCACTGTCTCCCCTACCCCCTTCTCTTTCTTGCCTATCTCTGAGTAAGAGTTCTCCGGCTCCACTTTCTAACAAACACTGGCAGTATCTCCAGCCTAGAAAATGCAAACAGCTCCCCTTTGTGTTTTTCTCTTCCTCAGCGTGAGACTTGCCTCTGAAGAGAAATTACTCCCGTCTTCTCAGGTTCTTTCTCTTCCTTCTCTCTACCTTCCTAAGTAGGACAATTTAATTTGTCAAAAGTAACCGCCGTGATTTCAAAAGTTCAGCTCCTATTTGGACAGAGTTACGGAGGCAGAATTCATAATCGTAGGGAGTTGTCACTCCGCTGTCCGCTTGTGCATTAACGATTAATGGAGAAATATTTAAAAACCCACTTGCAAGAGAAAAAGCTCCATTTTTTCATTTCTGCAGATCAAAGGTGACATTATTCTTGGGCTCAGGAAGCTCCCTCACCTCCTCCCATCCTATACATTTTATAGACTGGGTGACATGGAAATATGTCATGGATGGGAGAGCTGAGCTCTGCTGCTGTACTTCTCTGGCAGTCACCCTCTCTGGACTACCTGACCTCCACCTGTTCTACCTACAGAGTGCAGGCAGCAAAGCTCATGGCAATCCGGTGTGGATATAATTCCAAAGGAAAGGTAAATCTCAACGCCCAAGCTCAGAAGGTGGAGTCTGGTGATTGTTGTTACAATCAAACAAGAGTTCCGTTCAGATAGCATAAATAAATGTGTACCTTGAGTGAGTCCCTTAGCTATTCCTCAGCAAATATTAAATCATATGAGTTCCAAGGTGCTAAAAGTAACCCTTAGAGCAGGCAAGCAGTCTGAAATAGATACCCACCAAAACATTCGTGCCAGGAAATTGTAGGTGGATTTTTTTATATTTAATTTAAAATTTTAGGTATTTTATTTATTATTTATATATTTATTGTATAGTTTCATATTTTATGGAAACAATACAAATTATCAGTACTTTTCTGTTAGTGAATTATCTAAATGTCCTGTTTGTAAAAAAAGAAAAATATCTATTTTTCTTGTCTAGTAGTTATTGAACATAATGTTCAAATTTTTATGTCTATGAATTTCAGATTGTTAAGAATCTTCATGAAAATTATATATATATAATCAGATGCAGTAGCATATTCCCAGGATATTAGCTATACCTGATGCTGGGGGGGGGGGAATCACTTAAATCCTATTATTCAGACTAGACACCATGACAGGACCTCATTTCTAAAGAACATTTTAAAGTAAAAATACAAGTCAGAACTAGGGAAAATATAGATAGACCATAGACCAAAGGCT